TTCTGGGAGTTGAAGTCCACTCATCTTAAAGTGGCCAAGCTTGGACAACACTGACTTACAGAAACACTTTATAATAGAGATGTACTAATTGCACAAGTAAAAAAAATATGTTTCCGTCACACTAGAAATCCAGAACGAAAAGTAAATAAGATCGTTGGTTAGAAGTGATTATTGTTATCCATTGACAGAATTTTGTGTTCCTATCGTTCTTTCTTTGGCATTTGGCCAGCTACTATAGGAACAAGAATTCAGGGCTGGATAGATATTTTATGTACCATGAAAATCTATAGCAATGCTTAATGGTATACAAAATTAGCCCATCAAGCCAAACTCACGCATGTCTTTGCCTTAAAGCTAAGTTAAATTTGGCATAAAAGGAGCCTTCAGTTCAGTCCTAAGTCATGGTCAATTTAACAGTGATTTGTTAAATAAGCCAAAACTGGCTGGTTTTACTGAATGCTACGCCGTAAGCCTTGATTTCCCAACCATGGTAGCTGGGAGTACACCTAAAACAAACGGCATGGCTTCCTAATTCCTGCTTGGATGGTACGGTACGGCATCGCACAAGTGTTTTAAGTCTGGAGGTTGCATTCTGGCTTTCAAAATAAAAAAAAGTAGCTATGTTTTATTTGCTTATTTTTAACTTTAATTATGACAGAACGTTTTTCAGTACACAAATCTGCTGCCATCACAACTATATGGATGGTTGTTCTTACATAGGTGGTTTATTTGGGTTGGCTGTTGTTCATGCTGTTTGTGGTATAATGCTAAATTACAGTGAGGTGGAACTACAGTATTGTTTTCGTAATTGCTGCATTCCTTCTTAGCAGAGAGAGGCAGAGAAACAGATACTGAGATTATTTTTTCTGTGGTGTTTGTGGCAGGAAGATAAAGGCAGAAATCTCCCTGCACCCCTGGAACCAAACTGAACTAATTTCACAGAAACAAGCAACTTAGATCTCTAACTAAAGGCAGTTGCTTCAGAGCAGATTTTCAAGAAAAGAAGCGGTGGGGAGTTACCTATCTATCTATCTATCTATCTATCTATCTATCTATCTATCTATCTATCTATCTATCTTTATTTATTGAATTTGTACCCTGCCTTTTTATTTTCACTGATGCTCAAAGCAACTCACATTTGAGAGAAAACATTTAAATGAAGCTTTAAAATCAACAGATTAAAAATCAGTGAACAG